TAGGAGACTTAATAGGAAATGACCAGGTAGGTTTTGTCCCGGGTCGAGAGGCCAGGGACAACACCATCAGAACCCTGAACGTGATCCATCTAGCTCGCATACGGTCACAGCCGCTCCTCCTGCTATCCTTGGATGCGGAGAAAGCGTTTGATAGGGTAAGCTGGCCATTTCTGAGGGAGATGCTGGACTTCATTGGGCTAGGATCAGGCATGCAGCAGGGGATTCAGTCGTTATACTCGAACCCCACAGCAGTAGTGCGTATTAACGAAACACTATCGGAGCCGTTTACCATCTCGAATGGGACGCGCCAGGGTTGCCCACTCTCGCCCATTATTTTTATCCTTGCACTTGAACCGCTCCTTAGGACTATATACAGATGCCCGGACATTAAGGGGCTAGACTGTGGCAAGAGACAGCATAAGGTCGCGGCCTACGCCGATGACCTGCTGTTGTACATCACACAACCCGAAATCTCTCTGCCCAATGTCATGCAGGCATTACGAGCGTATGGTCAACTGACAGACTTTAAATTAAATTGGACTAAGTCGGAAGCGCTGAACGTCTCTCTTCCGGAGGGACGTTTGGCGCAGTTGAAAGACTCTTTCAGATTTCGGTGGGCGGACACACACATCACTTACCTGGGGGTTGCTATCCCAGCAGATATTCGTAAAACGTTCTCCGTGAATTTTATCCCACTTCAAAAATGCATCACGCGAGATCTGGCCTCCTGGGACCGTCCCACCTTTACGTGGCTGGGACGCAATAATATTCTAAAAATGGTGGTCATGCCTAGGTTGTTATATCTCCTCCAGACGCTCCCAGTGTCAATCCCGGTGAAGTTCCTTCGCCAGCTGCGGTCCCAATTTCTAACTTTCCTATGGATGAACAAGAGGGCACGGCTGAGACATCAGCTTCTGTCTAGATCTAAGGGAGCAGGGGGCCTGAGCTTCCCAGACCCGGTGATGTACTATAAGGCGGCACACCTGTCGGTGGTGGTGGACTGGTGTTGTAACTCTGAACATAAGCTGTGGGTGGACCTGGAGCAATTGGAGTGCACTCCGCCTCTACAGAGTGCACCTTGGATCTTTCCCAAATTGCCGCTTTCGTACTGGTCGAACCCATTGGTTCGGGCCACGATGAAGGCGATAAGTGGATCACTGCCCACTTCAGGTCTCTCCCCACAGCCCTCGCCTCTGGTACCGCTGACTGGGAACCCGCACTTCACCCCCGGGATGCATACCAAATTATATAAGTTCCAGGAGGAGGACCGGTGGTTGCACATAGCTCAGATTAGAGACCTGACCGACCCGCCCATGGGCTTTTGGTGCGCCCTACAGATACACCACTTCCTAAATACATCACGAGCTGGGGACCCCCCCCCTCCGACCACGAACAGAATTCGAGAAAGTGTGTGAGAAGGCGGAGCCAGTGAGACATATGCTGTCTCATCTAGTCGACTGTCTCCGTAACCCACCGGATCTCCCCCCTCCGTACTTCACCAGCCAAGGGGCCACACACTTGGGCGTTAGTTTAGCCCCGAGCAGGTGGACCGGATGGTGCACTTTGCTCTCAAATCCTCTGTGTCGACTAAATATCAGGAGGCAGGATACAAACTGTTAACACGGTGGTATAGAGTCCCAAAGGTTCTACATACTATGTACCCTGCGGTACCAGAGACGTGTTGGCGATGTGAGGGAGAGGTTGGTTCTCTACTGCACATCTTTTGGGAATGCCCGGGAGTGGCTACCTTCTGGTCCCAGATTGCCACCCTAGCACAGAAGATCACAGGTGTGTCCCTTCCACTTACCCCTGCAGCGTATCTCCTCCAACTGCCACAGCTTTCGCGGAAAGCATATAAGCGATCCCTTCTGATTCACCTGCTGAATGCGGCGCGGGCATGTATCCCGTCACTGTGGAGGCAGACCCGCCCACCAACAGTGGAGATGTGGGTGAGAAGAGTGGAGGAGATCAGGCTGATGGAGGACCTGACCTCAACAATTTGTAAGACACAGCACAAATTTGTGGCGACTTGGGCAGCATGGTACATGTTCAGAGGCTCCTGAGTTTCCCCAGGTTAGCCAGGTGTAAATATCGGCGGTGGTGACCGCAGGAAGGAGGCTCCAGTCGTCCGGGACTTGGGTGTTGTCTTCCCCTTCCCTGAATGTCTTGTCTTTTGTGATATGTGTCTTTTTCTACTTTCTGCAGTGTAGTTCCTTTCCCTTTGCCCTTCTTGGGTGATCAGGGAACTATCCGCGCCGGTTGCGGGATAGCATCCCTGGTAGAGTTGGTTTGTTTGTTTGTAGTGTATATACGTGAATCTTATGTTAGAAAAACGGAAAAGTCGTGGGAGCACTGGTGCAGGCCCGATAGTATTGTTGTATAAATGTTTAGTATGGGGGTTAGGCCGGGCGCAACTACTCTGTATGTATCATCCCGAAGATGAGTGCAATTGTATGACGATGCCTGGACATAAAGGCCCGTTTGTTTTGATCGTTGGCTCTGTATGAGTGCTCTTATGTTTGTGCAAATAAAAGAATAAAAAAAAAAAAAACAATGCCTCCTGATAATCAAAAGACAGAACAAACAAACATAGGATGACAGATAAACCCTAAACAGATCAGAGATATACCACATACATGAATATTGGGATGTTCCGTAGATTCATAAAAAGTTCTGGTAGTGTGTCAGAAAACCAGAACACACACACACACACCCCTAATGCAATAGGCTGCACATGCCTATTGTATGAGATCATCTGCATCCGGTAAGCCTGTAGAAAGCAATAACAGGCTGACAGGACCCGCAGCTTTCCGCCACTGTTCTCATATATCTGCACATCCAGCAGGTTAGGGATAGGTGTTAACACTGGATGCAATTTGTCTGCATCCAGGGTTGGATATTGTCCCTAATAGCAGGTAACTGCTGTATGTGCAGATACATGCACACAACCTCTTGACGCTTTGTACTGACTTCCCAGCCACAGCTGATCACAGACACCTGTCATCTCAGCTGCAGGAATCTGCAGATTGTTGTTGCAGCCCTTATGGCACATGCAAATGAGCCCCAAAGAGAAGACTTGGCATTGCATTGGAGTGCGAGTGACTTTCTGTTTGGATTTGGCAGCGAGTAATGACACGCCGCGCGGCTTCCTGATTGACTGGGAAGCTGGCTCCATGCTAGTGGAGGTACCAAATCGGTACTCGGTATCGGCGACTACCAAAAGATAAATATCGGTACTTGTACTCGATACCGAAAAAACGGTATTGCTGCATCCCTAATTTCAAGCAATACTAGAATGAGCCCCATACTTTGGCAGATGGGGAGTTGGGGGCTACTCAGGGATTTATCACCATTTGTCAGGTATGTATCAGATGGTGCTCACCACCAGCTTAATTCCTGTAGACTTGTATCATATTGTGTTCACATGCCAGGGGTGTTATTTTCAGTCTCTGGCTAAGCCTGATTTCGCTTATAACTCTTGGCCCTGATTTTCTAAACCGATTACTACTACAGTAAAGTTACTGTATAACCAAAACTTTTGTAGGATTAGAAGAGTAAGTAGGGAAGGGTAAACCCCATCAGGTTATTTATAGCTGTCGGTGTCCCACTGGAGACATTTCCCCTAGCTTCCTGTCCCAGATATGGAACAGGAGGTTAGGGGACATCTCCTAAAGTGAGGGGAATTCCCTTCTTAGATGAACCCGTAGCAGGTGTCCCCATAGGTACTTTTTGACAACAGCCACCAGTACAAATAGAGAGGGTGACTCTCCCCAAAAAGGATAGAGACAACAATAAAAAAACAATTCACAGAGGGTCTGACCAAAAAAAACAAGTTTTACCTAGCGATACAATTCCAAGGAAATTAAACATTTTCTCTTGCAATGGGGCTTCCCTATACTGCAAGAGTTAGAACAGGACTAAAGCCAAAACTTTGACCCGAAGTCACCATCTAGCCGGCTATTACCTGCTATTTGCTGACAGTCCAGAGCCGCACTGCAGCCAGGAAAGATCCCGACAATATTGTCAGGATCCACCCCACTGCCTGATTGACAGCTGGCTCTACCTCTCTAGAGCCAGAGTTGGCTGTGCCCGCCCCCTCCTGTGTCTTTCCCTCCAATAAGTGCTGGACGAGCAGAGAGAGGGAAGGGGGGAATCCCCGCAGAAACTGATGACTGTCAGTCACCACTCTCTGCAGGGAAAAGACAGTGAGCTGAGCAATCAGCGATTCGTAATCACTCCGTTCTCGATCTATAGAGTGGCATGTGACGCCTGCAGTGTCACACGGCAGCTCTAAGTATTGGGATAAGTACATTTGACTCTCTCAATACTTCCCCTTTAACTGCTCGTTTATCCCTAGTTACTTGATTCCCACTCCCACCAGTTCCCTCTGGGCTGCTAGAGTGGTCCCTGCAGCCTCTTCTATCCTGGGCTCCGGCCGCTGAGGGACAGTCCACAGCCAGATCATAAGTCTCTAGAGTCACTCTAGTTGGAGATTACACATGGCTCTCTCCCACCCCATGTGATAGCACTCGGCCAATCACTAGTGCTGTCATGTGGGAGGACGGGAAGTGAATGCTCTATAACTAGAAGTACCAGCATTTTCTTCACTCTTGGCAGCTGAACGGAGTAAAGGAAAGCGGGGTATGTGCTGCAGGGGGATCGTTATACTGAAACCATTGTCATTCATTTGCATCAATCAGAGCCTTGCAGAAAATTCTAATACATTCACCCAGATCAGTGCTGAATTGAATAAATCTAGGACTGATCAAATGTTTGTTGTCATATGTATGGCTGACATAAAGGAGATTGTACAATCAGATTGTAGTGTGTGTGGCCAGTTTACAGTTGATTACTTCATAGATGACAAACACTTGTGGTGTCTACATTATTGCATATCCCGAAGAGCTGTAGCGCTTTCCACTATAGCAGAACTCCCAATCTCCTAAGTGGTCGTATCACATTGTCCATTGTCTCCTTCCAGGTTCATGAGCTGGCATTGGATTTGGAAAGTTATTACTCATAATGGAAGCTTTGTTGGAAGGAATGCAAAAAAAGGGAAAGACGGGGTGAGTATAATAAAATGGAGAGAGAAAAGCCTGTTGCCTATGGGAAAACCGGTCCCCTGCCATTGGAATGTAGAGAAGGACCATTGCTTACTGTGTGGAAACAGTGGTCTCTCTGCAGACGTTTGACACACCCCATGCTAAGCCAGAGCTAGCGCTCACCAATCAACTGCTGGGTGTGTCGGACCTCTGTAGAGAGACTATTGCTTCCACAGAGAGAGGAAGGGTCCTTTTCTGCTGCATCCTGGCAGTGGACAGACTTTTCTACTCAAGATGTGGCTGCTTCCTAAATAAAATGAACTTTCAGACTTTGCACACCTTCTTCTGGTTTTGATGCACCTGGAATATGCAGTATTTAGCTCAATAAAATTGAAAGCTCAATTGGACATTAATATGGATCAAGTATTTACCTGATTAATAAGATTAACACATGTAATAGAAAGAAAGGAATTATATACAAACTGTCAATGTATATTTCCTTTAAAACATGGAAAACCTTTTCAGTTTTAATTCATGTACAGTTGCTTGTTCCCCTCATAAAATCCCAGGTTGAGATCTTGCCTTTTGTCTCATTTGTTTGTATAACACATTGTCCCAGAATGTATGCATTCTACCGTGTATGTTTGGTGACCCTGCCATGAAAGTGTTGCCATTTTTCCCCAGTCATCTTCCAGGACAGCCATCGGGAGATATAGGCTCCGCCTGCCTGCAACAGGAAACACATCAACCACATTAAATAAATAGACTCCTCCTTCCATCCCAAGTCAGTTTTTTTGTGTTTCCGCCGGCTACACAGGGACATCGTAATGTTTGTTGTTTTTAGGGCTCATGTTTGTTTGCCTTAGGGCTGAGCCTACCCTGCTATGCGTTGGGACCTACTCCAGGATTACCTGCTGCAGCGCATGCAGGGCTTCCCTATCGGACCCCCATCCGATTCTTGGCCAAGGTTCCCTTCCATCACTCAGGGAAGGCAACCATCCTCCTGCACGTGAGTAGGCGCCAGATGGTGCCCCCCCCCCTGGTGTACAGCAGTGGCAAGGTGTGATGCCTAGGAATGCGGAGCCCAGGTTGTGGACATTGGTCTGGCAACAACAGGGGCAGCATAGGAGAGGTACAGGGAGGCTGGAGGAGTCCAGGGGTCCCGGCTACCTCGGTAGTTGGGGCTCTTACCTAATGGTAGGGAGAGCAGGGTCAGTCTGCGGCAGCGTGGAGATCAGGGGGGCACGCGTTCGCACGGCCTCATGCAGTTGGCGACGAATATTCTAACTTGGGCAGAGCACAACCTCCTCTCCCTGACGGCGAGGCATATCAAGGGCAGCCTGAACGAGTTGGCCGATTCACTCAGCAGGACGGAGCTGCACAGGTCAGAGTGGACTCTCAACGCAGGAACGTTTGCATGGATCACCATCTTGTGGGGCTGTCCCGAGGTGGACCTCTTCGCAGCGGCCAACAACAGAAAGGTGGAACAATTTTTTTTCCCTCTCCAGGAACGACGGAGCCCTAGGGGTGGACGCTTTGGTGCACCCCTGGAGGTTCAGTCGAGGTTACGCATTTCCTCCACTGCAGTTAATCCAGAATGTGCTTCGAAAGCTCAGGGGCGAACGGATGACGTTAATTCTCATAGCGCCATGTTGGCAGAAGTGGCCGTGGTTCACGGCCCTCCTGGAGCTGTGTGTGGCAGGGCCTCTGCTTCTTCCGCCAGCGGCGGATTTATTGATGCAGGGCACGGTGAGACACCCGCAGGTGCAAGCTTTAAATTTAGCTGCATGGCTACTGAGAGGGAGGTGTTAATGAACAAAGGGTTATCAGCACGGGTGGTTGCTACACTGCTGCAGAGTAGAAAGCCGATAACATCTGCGATCTACCTGAAGGTGTGGAAAGTGTTTTCCGGCTGGTACAGCAGTCAGGGTAGGCCTGCGGTGGCCATCGTACCATTGGTGTTGGATTTCCGGCAGGGCGGTCTGGGAAAAAGGGCTTTCCTGTAGTACTCTGAAAGGTGCAGGTTTCTGTGCTGTCTAATTTCGTGGACATTAGACTGGCGGAGGAGCCTCTCATCAAAAGGTTCATGCGAGCGGTAGGCAGAATGAAACCCCCGAAGCGTAAGGTGGTGCCAAACTGGGACCTCTCGGTGGTGCTACAAGGGTTTCTTAAGCAGCCTTTCGGGCCCCTGGGGGGGTGTTCCATTCAACAGCTGACGATAAAGACAGCTCTCTTGGTAGCGTTGGTTTCCGCACGGAGAATTAGCGAGATTCAGGCATTTTCCATTACAGACCCGTACTGCACCAACCTGGTAGATCGGATTATTTTGCGACCAGACCCGGCATTCCTGCCAAAGGTGGTTTCCACCTTCCACAGGACTCAGGAGGTGGTCATTCCTTCGTTTGCCACCAACCCGGCCTCTGCAAGAGAACGGGAGTGGCAGGGTATTGATGTTCGTAGGTGCGTTTTGGAGTACCTCCAAGTCACAAAACCTTGGCGGCAGTCGTCCCGCCTCTTTGTTGTGTTTGGGGGACCCACTAGGGGGAACAGGGCCACTAAAAGCACGATTGCAAGGTGGATTAAAATGGCCATAACTGACACCTACAAAGCACAGGGCTTGGTGCTGCCAGGTTCGCTCACGACACACTCGACTCCAGCATGGGCTACGTCCTGGGTAGAGCGAGCAGGGGCTACTCCAGAACAGATCTGCAGAGCAGCCACGTGGTCCAGCTTCCAGAACTCCGTCAGGCACTACAGCCTGGACCTTGTGACTCTTCCTTCGTTTGCCACCAACCCGGCCTCTGCAAGAGAACGGGAATGGCAGGGTATTGATGTTCGTAGGTGCGTTTTGGAGTACCTCCAAGTCACAAAACCTTGGCGGCAGTCGTCCCGCCTCTTTGTTGTTTTTGGGGGACCCAATAGGGGGAGCAGGGCCACTAAAAGCACGATAGCAAGGTGGATTAAGATGGCCATAACTGACACCTACAAAGCACAGGGCTTGGTGCTGCCAGGTTCGCTCACGACACACTCGACTCCAGCATGGGCTACGTCCTGGGTAGAGCGAGCAGGGGCTACTCCAGAACAGATCTGCAGAGCAGCCACGTGGTCCAGCTTCCAGAACTCCGTCAGGCACTACAGGCTGGACCTTGTGACTCAACAAGACCAGGCATTTGGCAGGAAAGTCCTGCAAGCTGTGGTCCCACCCTAAGAGGTAAGATTAGTCCTCACTGATCCTCTCGATGGCTGTCCTGGAAGATGACTGGGGAAAACATGAGTTGATTACCTGATAACTCTGTTTCCAGGAATCTTCCAGGACAGCATATTCCCACCCTTGGTAAGTATCCAGGTGGCATCCGTGGTTGGATGAAGGAGGAGATACTTTAGTACATGGGGTAGCCTTCGGTCCTAGAGGTTACTGACTTGGGATGGAAGGAGGAGTCTATTTATTTAATGTGGTTGATGTGTTTCCTGTTGCAGGCAGGCGGAGCCTATATCTCCCGCTGGCTGTCCTGGAAGATTCCTGGAAACAGAGTTATCAGGTAATCAACTCATGTTTTTCAGCCCAGTAAACCTTAATTTGTAGCATTTTTTTACTGTCTGTGATTACATATCCAAACTGTAACATTAGGGATGTGGGTAGGCTGGGCTTTATAGTTCACAGCTTAGTGAGCTGTCAATTACAGCCTATAATGGAGGTGCTTTGGGCACAGCTGAAGAAGACATCTTGCCATAGGTTGGCAATGGCTGCTGTAGATATTAAATCCCTACTGTAGACCAGGGGTCAGGAACCTTTTTCAGGTTAGGTGTCAGTTTTACAAGAATTAGGCGAACGGTGAGCCAGGGAAGGATGGCGTGCTGCAGTTATATAATAATAAGAAATTGTGCACCTTCAGACTGCAGATCAGCCCCAATTCCGCAAAGAAAAAAAGGGGCTTCTATGGCAGGAAGCATGACCAGGAAGCATGACCAATCTAAAGCGTGGGCTTTTAACAAAGGGAAGTCTAAAGGTAATTTCCTCTTTAACCCCCCTCAGCAGCCCAATAAATCCCAATGACCTTCAGACTGCAGATCAGCCCCAATTCATGCACCTTCAGACTGCAAATCAGCCCCAATTCATGCACCTTTAGATCTCAAATTAGCCCCCAATGCATGCACATTTGCATCGTAGATCAGCCCCATTTCATACACCTCTAGACCGCAGATCAGCCTGAATTCATTCAACTTTAGATCTGAAAACTGCCCCCATTTCTGAACCTTTACACTAACAAAGGGAAGTCTAAAGGTAATTTCCTCTTTAACCCCCCTCAGCAGCCCAATAAATCCCAATGACCTTCAGACTGCAGATCAGCCCCAATTCATGCACCTTCAGACTGCAGATCAGCCCCAATTCATGCACCTTCAGACTGCAAATCAGCCCCAATGCATGCACCATCAAACTGCAGGATCAGCCCCAATGCAAGCACCTTCGGATCAGGCTCAATGCATGCACCTTCAGATCAACCCCAATGCATGCATCTTTAGACCACAGATCAGCCACAACTCATGCAGCTTTGGCAGACAGATCAGCCCCAATTCATGCACAAGTAGACCGCAGAACAGCCGCAATGCATGCATCTTCAGACCTCATATCAGCCCCAATGCATGCAGCTTTAGAGCACATATCAGCCCCAATGCATGTACTTTTACACCTCAGATCAGCCCCAATCCCTGCCCCTTCAAAGCACAGATAGACCCCCCCCCCCCCCCCACCACCTTCCAACCCCACCACAGCCCCA